CGAGAAGCAATAGGAGGACATTACTCAGGCATAATTATTATTAATTAGGCTGTGGTTATAATTGTTGTTGTTAAGCAGGTGCTTTTTAAGAGAGTAATAGTCGTTAATCCAAGTGGTACATCATCAGAAAGATTAAATCAAAACTAGAGCATGTTGCATGTGTACATGTAGACTTCCTTATATATTAAAATGTGTGTTACTACCTATACAATTGAGCAATTCGAGACCTAATGGATAACGATGATTGAGAAATGCTTTCTTCAAGAGGAAACTTAGCTCAGCTTAAGTGACATACAACTTGAGATCTGAATTGAACCTCGCTCTCTGTTGTGTGATCCACATGCCTGTAATAACTTGTTTGCTATGTATCCATCAAATTTTTTAGTGTGACAATCATATAACATGCAACATGGCCTAGTTTGCGTTTAATCTTTTCTCTGAGGTGCCACTAATAGTAATAATGATTACTCTTTGGGAATACTTGTTTAATTGTACCAGTTATAACCAAATCATGATAGTTATAATTGTGCGTGAGTGGCGTTTTCTGTTAGTTCTACCCAATTCTGAATTAACAAAATAAATGACTCCATGGTCTCATTAAAGATGAGTGCACAGTCGAGAAAAGCTGTATTGATGGTTAACTTTGTGGATTGGGTTGAATGACATACTACATGCAATTGGTTCATGGTGTCAAAGTTACCACTTCATCGAAGAATTGGTGTGACAATATAGATCTTGGATCTACCTATAGAACAACAATTAGCCTTCGAGCTCATCAAGTCGAACTTTGCAAAAGATTGTTAGATTAAATTCCTTCTAATACATCCAACGAATAACAAGGTTTGTTTCTTTTAAGTTCCATTTTTTGGCTTGAAATGAGCTCTCAAGGTCTTTCTCAATGAAAGGGATATTTTTGCGCCACCTGCCAGCTCATTAAAGTAATTCCATCATAGTCACGGACTTCAACATAGAAGACCTCATTGTGTCAATCGTCTTTTCACTATATCTGGTGTTTTCTCATGGGATAGAATGAATTTTATTTTAGTTGGAATTGTAAGAACATGATTGTATTCTTTTACAAACTTTGTGGTAACTCTTCTTTGCTTGTCATTTTCCTTAATGCGCATCTTCTTTAAGACATCCACATCATGTATCTATTATAATAGCCTTGCTTACAAAAATCTAAAACCACGATTATTATTTCACTATATTTTCTAAAGCTACCTCTTATTTAATACAAAACCCAATGATTTCAGCATGATTATTGTCGTAGTTTTAAGCTTTATCTTCATCTTGAATGATTTTTAATGGTTTGATGTGTGCGAGTCTTATAAGGGCTACCTCTGTATCTATAGATCCTTGATCTATTATTACCATCTATTGTGACGCTTCTCATTAGAGGAAAAATCATGGTTAGGTTCCTCCAACATAGCCTCGAAATGAAATTGATCCATATTGTTCGCATCAATGGTGTGGAGGGAAGAGGATCCATGCATTGATGTAGCAGTCTCCATTTGATACGAATAGTTACGAATAGTTAACTAATTAGATTTATAGAGCCAAATTGTGGAAATGGTGTGAAATTAAGGAATTTAGTATTCTTTAAAGAGAAAGTTTCCTAAAAAGAAGGCATTATCAATAGACCTAGTATAACTTGAAAAGAAACAGCCAGTAAGGCATTAAGTTTTGGTTAGCTTGGATATCCAACAATGAAACAAGTCCAACTTAATAAGATCAATCATAAAAATCACTATTAGTTGGTTGACTGTGGTCTAGACAGAACTCTACACTTGTTATAGATGCTTAAACAAATTAAACTAAGAAAAGAAACAAGTCGATATGCGATCTCACGTGCCATAGTTGCATATCATTTTTAAATGTTTATCATGATTACTTATGTTACTTGATGGAATAGTCTACCACTATTTATCCAAAGTATATACGACAATGTGCATACAATAGCACAAGTAAACACAATTATTATGCCCTTGGCTTTTACTCGTACTTGTTACCCAATTGTGTAAATATGTTTGTATATTTATAAACAGACCCAATTGTGTAAATATGTTTGTGTATTTATAAACAGAGTAATGATCCTATGTGACCCTGCCACACACACTAGCATAGGATCCCAACAGATCACCGTTGGATTTTGATCCAAATCTCGAGGTAGAATTCAAATGTCCCAAATTCTCACTCAGCCGTACAAAACCTACAGCCTATCTCTACCCATACTAGCCCTCCCTCCCTCCTCCTCTCTCTCTCTCTCTCTCTCATGCTGCTATCCCTCTCTCTCTTTCACGCTGCCATCCCTCGCTCTCTTTCCCACCACTTGCTCTCTCTCTCTCTCATTATCCCATCCCATTCCCCTCCCGCCCAAGAAAACCCTTTGCTCTCTCTCCTATTTGCGGAAGCTCGGCCTAGCAGCAGCCACCCGATCCCATTTCTTTATCTTCAACGAAACACTTTGCGGTAGGATCTCAATCTCTCTTCTCTCCACAGCAGCGACCTTTACCCCATCCCATTTCACTCACTCTCTCACTTGGCGGTAGGATCTCTCTCTCTCTCTCTCTCTTTTTGTCTCTTTGTTTCTCACTTTCCTCTTCTCTCCACAACAGCTCGCCCCACCAGAAGCCTTTACCCAATCCTGTTTTACTTGCTCTCGCTCTTGGTGGTAGGATCTCTCTCTCTCTTCTCTCCACAACAGCCCGTCCAATCAACAGCCTTTACCCCATCCCGTTTCTCTCTCCTCAAAGAAACTCTGCCCTCGCTTTGCAGAACCAGTACAGGTGGAGATAGGTTGTAGGTTTTGTACGACTGAGTGGGAATTTGGGGCATTTAACTTCTATTTTGAGATTTGGATCAAAATTCAACTGTGATTTGTTTGGGTCCTATATGTCATTGTATGTAGCAGGATCCTATAGGATCATTACTTTTACAAATATGCCACAAATTTTGATGCAAACAAATTGTTACTCCATGGAGAAGTGGTCACTCTATTATACAAGAAAACTTGAGGGGCCCATTTGATTGCAAAATTTTTTCAAATAGTATTTTTTTTCCAATTTGCATTTGACCAAATGGCGATTTGTACAATTATTATTTGCTCTCTATGGGTGTTTGATTGATATAATTTTAATTATAAAATGTTATTATGTGGTATAATGATAGAGGTGGTAGTGATGGTGTGGTAGTGGTGGTAGTGACACTACAGTGGTGGTGGTGGTTGTGGTGCACCTGTAGAGTGGTGGTGGTGGTGGTAGCAGTGTAGGTGGTGGAGGTGGCAATGGGTAGGTGGTGGTCTATTAGTGGTGGTGGTGTGGTGGTAGTGTAGTGATGATAGAGTGGTATTGGGGGGTGTTGTGGTGGTGGTAAAGTGATGGTGACAGCTAGGCATTGATGGTGGTGGCAGTGGTGTTGGAGCAGTTTTGCAAAGTTCAATTTGGGAGCCCAATTGCAGTTGGGGATCAATTCAAATTTCTGAATCAAACATCTCTTGAGGTCAAGTTGCTTATGAGAAATTGTCAAATAGGCTAGGAAATCTAATAGTGCCTTATTTGGAATGTTAGATCTGAAAAACCAGTAATGAACACAAAACTATATGCTCAAAAATGCAAGTCTTAAAGGAGTCCTACTAGAGTTAGTGATCAAATGAGTTAGCCTTCAATACTTCTTATAAAAAGTCAAATTTTTTAGGGTTTATTAGATTGTGGCCCATAGTTTTGAGTGAAAATTATGTAATAAAAAATAGTACTTGGGCCTCACAATATATAGTTATGGCCACGGTTTCTATGTAGGTATGGCCCACACAAATTCTCCACTATCCACCTGACTTGGCAATCGCCACCATCCAAGTCAGTTGAAAAGGAAGTTTCACAAAAATAGCACTAACATACTAAGTTCAGATAAAAAATTAACACTAAACTTGAAGCTTCTTAAACATCAAGGAGTAAAGATTTCTCATAAAATTGCATCTAAACTCCAAGAAATGCTAACTAGAGGAGATTGCTGTAAATCATAGCAAACAAATTAAAAATAGCTATTGAGCCCTAAAAACAGTCAATAAACCAGCGAGTATAGGATGAAAGATGTCCCTGGATCTGTATGTGTGAGAGAGAGAGAGAGAGAGAGAGAGAGAGAGAGAGAGAGAGAGAGACTAACGTTAGTTATTAGTTACTACGTTACGTAACGTAGTAACGTAAAGTAAGTAAACGTACGTACGTAGGTAAGTAACGTACGTAAGTTAGTAAGTAAGTT